GTACGGTGTCTTTATAGGTGGAATCTAAAATAGTAAGACTCAGAATCAGGGAGTAGAATGGGGTGAGGGTGGCACTAAGGCAAACGGGAAGATGTCAGTCAAAGGGTACAAACTGTCAGTTATAAGATGAGTAAGCGCTGAGGATCAAATACACAGCATGATGATTACAGTTAATAAAACTGTATTTCACACTTGAAATTTGCTGAGTAGATGTTAAGTGTTCTCACCACACACTGCCAAAACTGGTAACTATTTCAGGTGATGGATGTGTGGTAATCATTTCACAATATATACATATATCAAACCATCACATTGTACACCTTCAATATATACAATTTTTATTTGCCAATTATGTCTCAATAAAATTGGGGAAAAAAGAAAAAGAAAACCGCCCGTCTAGAGTAATACACGTCAACAGCACGTCCACTGATAGAAACACAATTAGTAAAAATATTAAGATTCTGTTTACACCAAACTATACTAAATAGTCTTCTCTTATGAAAGCCAATTAGTTGCAAACACATGTTCATTTGTTCATGGGCACTAACCACCTGCATGAAAGTATAAAGTAACGGCTGTACTTGAGACTTTAATAAAATGAAAGTCTGAAGCCATCAAGTACCTTGAAAACAGGAGTGCAACCAGAGTTCTGCTTTATGAGTTTGGAAATTGCACTTTCCTGTTTAAATATGTGACATGTTCAACCATATGTGGTTCCTTTAAATCTATTTCTAGACACTAAGTATATTTAAGGCAGTCACATGTAGCAAACCGGTTGTAGATACAATTGCACAGCATCTTGTTTCCTCTCCTTCACTACTAAACTAGCTTAAAGACTTACCTAAGTCTCTGTTAGCAGACTTTAATGTGTGTGTAGGAATCGCCTGGGGACCTGGGGCTCTTGTTCAAACGTACGTAGATTCTGATTCATGAGGTTTCGGGTGGGACCTGAGACTCTGTATTTCTAACAAGCTTCCCGAGGGTCACTTCCATTTCTCTCAATTAAATGGGCACTTTGCAGTCCTCATCTTCATCTCCGTGGCATGTGACACCATCCTCATCATCCTTGCTTCCTTGATTTCTTAGACACTGCTCTCCTCGTTTTTCTTCTATCTCTGTCTCCTCCTTTTCATTGTCCTTTTCAGGCTCATCTTCTGCCAGCTGCGAACAATTAGAATTCTTCAAAGCTCAATCCCCCTCATCTTTCCATTTACTCCATACCTTGCCCTTAGCTCAGTGGTTCTCAACTGAGGGGAGGTGTATCTTGTCCCCCAAGGGACGTCTGGCAGAGTATTTGTAGTTTTCACAACTCCAGGGGAGGGGAGGGAAGGGGCGATGCTCGTGGCGCCTAGTGGGTAGAGGCTGGGGATGCTAAATACCCTACAATGCACAGGACAGCTCTCCCCTCAAAAGCTCCCCCCCCACACACACAGACACCTCATCCCAATAAAGAATGCTTTCTCAGTAGCGCTGAGGTTAGTAAGGGCAGTGCTTCTTAAACTGTAAAATGCCTGGCAAACACCTGGGTCTGTTGCTGAAATTCAGATTCTGATTTATCAGGTACAAAGTGGGGCTTTTCTAAGGAACTCCCAGGAGGCGCTGACGATGTTGGTCCAGGGACCACTGTTTGAATAGCAAGTCCCTAGACTACATCATTTCTGCACAAGGTGTCCGTCACTGTCATTGCTGCAGGAGACTTGAACTACGCATCTCTAGCTCAGCTCTCTTTCTTAGCTCCATAGACTGTGGCCAACTACTGACTCAGCATCTCCAGTTTGGGTATTGGAAAGCTCCCCAAATCAATATTACTAAGCCACACTTGTGATGTCCTACCTCCAAATACGGTCCTCTTCCAATGCTGTCTTGTCCAGTTAACTCATTTTTTACATCTCAGCTCGGTGGCTTTCCTTAGACAGCCTGCCCCTTCTGTTCCCCAACGGACTCAGTTCTCTGATGTGTAACATGAGAATTACATAATCTTCTAGAACATTCCTCCTTTCCTTCAAAGCACTTGAATCCCCCTCAACACGACTATCTGATTGATGAGTTTCTGAATAAGCTCTGGGGAAACAGGGAATATTTCTATTTTTGCTCACCAGGGTCTCCTCAGCCCCTAGCACCATGCCTGGTCCATGGTGTGCACACAATAGTATTTATTGACTGCCTGAATAAAATGAATGAATGAATGAGTACAACTGACAGCTTCTAAATACTACATCAATATAATGCAGAATACAAATTCTAAGTAACTACATCCTACACTATCTCATAAATGCTGAAATTATGGAACCCAATCAATAATATAGAGTCTTAGAAATGATACCTCTAGCGCCCCTGAAGGTAAGGACTCTCTACCTCCTGTAAGGATGAGAAACCTGTAAGTTTTGGTCTTAGGCTTTTAAAAGAAGAGTCTTCTTCATTTCATGAATCCAAGCATGGCCTGACGTTTTACAGACTAACTTATTAGTATAGTTCATTTAATTGAGATTTTACTCATTTATCATTGATTCAGAATGGCACTTTGGAAGGAGTTTTCTCTTCTCTTTACATTGTGACATCAACTCCTGAAATGGGGAAGGATGGTGACTAGAACTTCTTTCCTTTTACCCCTTCCTACGCTTCTCACGGGAGACAGAACGACTTGTCGGATTGGCGACAGTGGGGAAATGGTCACTGCGCCTGTTTGTTCCAGTCTCCTCCTGGCTCTTGTTCTCTAGGGGCAGCCCGAGCAGAGCAGAGCACACCCCCTCCTTGTTTCTACCGCCCTGAGGCAGGGCGCCCTCGCTCTGGGTTGAAAGCTTGTATTCCTTCTTCTTTTCTATCTGTAGCTGGGCGGAGCAACTCAATGGAGCCAGAGGGGTTGGAGAGTTATAAGACGACAAACGCAAGCTATTGGCATCAAATTTAGCAAATGCTGGGTCTTAACCCCCACCTGACGTCGGTGTGTATTGCTCAGCTAGAGAGAGGTATAAGTAACCAGGCTTCCCGCAGACCCCAACAACTCTGAAAAGTTCCCTTTCTAAATGGAATCCTAAATTTCCAAGTGAACTTCACCAAGGCTGGACTTGGTGCAACTTTGGTGTCCAGCGCCGCTTAGGGAGAGATCAACCCTGCCCATCACATTCTCGGAAGAAAGCACTTTATACTTTTGTATATAAACCTCGGTATGGTCTCTCTCAACAGAGCTTTCTAAAAGAAGTTTTATGAAAACAGGCTATATCAGGAAAAATGTAAACGCACGTGTGACAATGGAGAAAACCAATTATACCTAGAGTCAGTGGGAATATCAGGAGAAGGTGGGGAGGGGTAAGAACGGGAAGAACTCAATTCTGATTCTTGGAGGTAAAGAAGTGTCACAGGGTCCTATGCAAATGAACATGGCACTCCTTCGTACTTCTGGCTTTTCTTCTTCTTCTTGCAGGATCATAGGAAAAAGCAGAACTAGGGAAATATGGGAACTTGGATCAAGAAAAAGGGACTTTCCTCCGATAAGTTTTAAGCAGGAAGTGGTCAGCGTTCTCATGGTAGAAAGATTATGGAAAATGAAAAAATTATATTTAATAAAAAGCCTACAGAAATGAACTCTGGGTATCTGAGACATTTCTGGAAAGTCTGATGGACTTAAATTCAAAGAAAATGAGAGGAGACCAAATAGTGATTGAGAATACGTAATGCATGGAAGAGCTAACGAACGAAGTATCACCCTTTAAATTAAAAAAATTTTAATATACGATTATAATACATGAAATGTTGAGCATAAACTTTATACACAGCAGAAATGGCTAGTAGAAGAAAATTCCCAGATACTGTATGCTAAAAGAAAAAGATTAGAAATATTCACTGTATGAGGAATGTTCTATATATGTATAATAGCAAGTGAGCATTCCATCATCTGTGACTTGCTTAATGTTGCCTGTGGGAAGCAGGCATGAAGCCCCCAAGCATCATGTCCACCCAGAGACAGTTTTCATGAACTCACAGTTCAGTAGGATGAAAAAGACGGTGAATCCTCAAACTATTAAATTACAGCAGGCTTTAAAGATGCCATTTATGGGCTGGGGTGGGGATGAGGGGGTGGTGGAGGAGAACAGTTAGTAGTTAGATTATTCAGAAATAGACAGGGAGAGAGTGCTCAGTGAGTGAGACTGGAATCGAGAGAGCGACAGAGGGCACTAGAGAGATGCTAAGAGGGTGTCACTGCTACAAAAACCACGGTTTAACATGGGGGTCATGCTGTATGAAAAGAGGAAATGTGTCATACGGAAAAGAAGGCCGCTCACCCGGTTAACGCAGGTTTTTCATCTATGCCTGCACGTGCAAAGGGCAATGCACGGCCAGCCCCATCTTGAGACACCAAATCAAAGCAGTGGAAATAAGTGGTCAAAACAAAGATTTGATAGTCTGTGGTCTCCAATATTTTTGACATTGCCGTCTCATCAATAAACAACATTGAACACACAGCCCTCCCTATTTCTGTATCAATACACTGGGTATATGATAAAATAGCCACAGACACACTTTCTAAAAGATGATTATATCTATTCTTATATTTTCTTCCCACACCCCACTTTGGAGACCTAGCCAAGGGTCTCAGTAGCAGACCGGCAACACCCATGAGGTTCCATTAGGTGGCACTCTGCACCGTATAGGTAGAACCACAGTCAGTGTCCAATTCAGTCAGATACTAGGAAAATTACAGTCAAGACATCCTTTAAATCATGAACACAAGCAGCAGCTCTACTGGTCAGGACTTACGGGACTGCGCATCAGTTGTCCACCTGCCTCTGTCTCTACCCAAATCTGCTCAGTGTGCTTGCCCAAACTGTCTTCACATTTCAGCCCTGGACAGAACTGCCAATCCTGTACGGTTCGATTATATCCCTCTTGAAAACAAGTGCCTAATGGGAAGCAATTTGAGCTGAAGTGCAGCTCCATTTCCAAGCAGTGGGTTAAGAGTGCTGAGGGTTATACACAGAAGGAGAAAGAGAAATTGAGCATACCTGGGGGTTCGGGCTTTCTTTGCTGAAGTGATCCCTGAGTTAACAGTCCCTGGTATCCCAAAGGAAGATGTGGCCCTTCCCAAACGGGGCTCTGCAGAGCAGCTGCTTCAGAAGCACTTGGGCTAGTTTCAGAAATGCAGAGTCCTGGGTCCCAGAGATCAGGACCTCTGGTGTGGAGGCCTGCAACCACATGGTTTCCAAGCTCCTTCGGTGATTCTGATTCCCTGTAAAATTGGAGAAACAGCTGACCTGGCTGGACAGAGCTGGGTCAGTTCGGGGCAGGGCCATCTACTGCCCCTGTGACCTTGGCAGTTGACTTAACATGTCTGACCCCACCTTCATCTCTGAGTTAACCCATCCTCTTTGACACGGGGCTCTTAATACCAGCCTCATAGAGCTGAGGTGAAGATTTAACAGAATAAATGAAGCCTTGAACTTGGCTTTGCTGCTATTTTAATAAATATGATTCCTTCCCTCCTCTTCCTCCTGCAGCCCCCACTCGATAACACTGTCCCGGTACCAGTGACTTCACCCTCCGCCCTTCATCCTAAGATCCTCCTTGCTCTCTCCTCACCCTGTCATCCCCTTGGGGGCCTGTCCTCAAGAGTAGGAGCCAAGTTGGTGATTATTTTAAAACTCATTCTTCTAATTCAGCTTCCTTCGAAAGGCAACTAAATGGTGGGAAATGAGGACCTAGGGCAGTGAGATGGGCACTGTAAACCATTTTATTTAATGCATATCACCTGCTTACAAGGTCCTGCTTGGCGGGCCTCCTCTTGGACCTGGCGCAGGAGTGTTACTCACTGTTCCAGGGTGACTGCAGGACAACAGGCTAGTTCTAACTGCCCAAACAGCCCCCCGACCCCTGCTCTTCTTAGCAGCTTGGTCCCCCTGGACAATGGGCCTCAGATATGGGTTCATGGAGATGTTCCTACAAACTTCTATGGCTCAAGACGTAAGCTCAGGAAATTCACTATTCTGAAAGCCTCTGGAATCTCTGACCCGCTACATCTCCTTGGCCAGTGAGAAGTGAAGTAGTCATGTGTATCATACAAGACAAAGATGGTGCCCTAGTTGGCTGTCTCTGTCTGGCCTTTGCTTCAGGGGTGTCACCAGCCAGAAGGACACTGAGAACCATTTTCTGTGTGTGGAAGCATCTGCCCGCCTCACCCTGACCACTGGCGGGCTCTAGGGATGTGTGAAAACTGCCACAAGGCCACGGGGGCTTCCTGTTATCCTCCAGAACCTAACAGACTCTCTCTGGAGGGTGCTTGTTGTGAGACACTGGGACTCAAACCTCCTCAGTCAGTTTGTCTGGGCTCTTCCAAAACAATTAATATAAATGACGAAGAGGGAGAAGGGATATATACATGAAGAAATACAATCATTGAAATGTCATGGCAAACATGTTAGAAATTAATTACAACCCAGCAGTAGGGTCATCTTGAGGCAGAGCACCAGATCTTACTCAGTTTCTTAACCCACATGCTTGAAAGTTGGGATAAGCTGAAAGAATATGAGTTTGAATGTGACAGAGAGTCCGGCCAGTGTCACCCAGGGAAGGTTTCACCATGCCAATTACAGAAGCTCGTGCTCACTGAAGCAGGTGGGGATTTACTCTGTATGTGTGGGAAAGAGACCAGTTTTAAACCAAAAGTACACACCAAACCACCGCTTCCGAACAGAAGAATCCACCTGCAACAACAGCTCTTTCTGTTCATTCTTGTGTAGGACACGAGGCTTGCCGTGGGTGCCTAAAGCCGAAAAGGAAACTGAGAGGGAGGGGAAGGCAAAAGAAGAGAGATGGAAAAACATATAAAACCCCAAACAGTGTGACACTGCCCTGTTGTCATCTCAGTGTCACCAGCATGGATGGCCCGTGTCACCAGGCCTTCTTCCACACAATCTCATCACAAGTTTGGGACTTTCTCCTCTCTTTGTAACCCTTCCCCTTCACTAGGTTGGTTGGTTGGTTGGTTGGTTGGTTGGTTGGTGCCTCTCGTGTTCTCCTTCATTACATTAGCTCAATGACAGGGATTCACTTTCAGTCCTCGTGTTCTCCAGAGAACATCTTTTGAGTCGCCCTCAATCACGTTCTTTGGTCATTTCCCTCCCACACTGATATTTGTACTTCAGAAGATACAAAGAATTCCCAGTGCTTCTTAGGCTCAAGGGCTCGAGCTTCCAGCAGAGGTGACTGGTGGCATGTCCCACTACTAACTGCTCCTGAGGCCTGGTATCCCAAGGCTCTAAGGAGGGATGAGCTTCCACACCAGGCCAGTAAATCTGTCCCATAACCAGTGTTCTCTGCCCACTTGAGGGCGTGCAGGAGAGGTACAGGACAAATCAAACCTTATCCCCACCCCCGTTTTAAAACTGGGGCATAAATACCCCACAGGAGATGCAACCTGGTTCTCTCTGGTTAGGATGAGAAGGAGGAAGTAAATAAAAAGCATGTTTTATGGGGGTGGAGGGGGACAGGTTCCTGAAAAAGAAGAGTGTGCATCCTTGCTGTCCCCATTACAGTTTCCTTGGAGACTGGGGAACAAGACGCCCAGGTTGTTAAGTCACCACTGCCCCCCTCATATACTCTGTATTCCCTGACTACATTTAAGAGACCAGCTGGACCTAAGACCATTCAGACAGATAGAGCTGGAAGTAGATGTGAGGATGGGGCCAAGAGACCCTGAGTCAGCAGCGGGGCTATGGTTAGACTCATCTTCTCTCCGTTCTATGGGCTGCAAACACTTGCTTTGCCTTATTCTCAGCCTTAACACTTACCTGCCTAATGCTTCCCTTGGCTTGGATCCTAACAGATGCCCAAGTCTTGCTGAGGTACAGCCTCTATCTGAGGAGGAAGGACACACCCTGGCCAGGTTCAGGGTTGAAAGAGGTTGGGAACCCCTTGATGGTAGAGTGGGATTTATGGAGAATCAGGAGTCCCTTCTAGAGCAGCGCCAACCAGAAGCGGGTCAGCTGAGAGCAGGACACTCAGAGCTTGGCAGGAGAACTAGCCATCATGCGCTCCTGGTGGCCTGAGTTGGTGGCTTTTGATCTGTGCCATCTATGAATGGCTCCAATAGAACAAGACTCCACAGAAGACTGTCAGGAGGTTCAAAGAGTGACTTGTCGAGATTACAAAGGAATTAAAATGAAAACCGTCTGTTGAAGTGCTTTTGGTCATTTCTTACAACAAACCACTGTACACAATCTCATGTTGAAATACGTTGTGGTTTCTGAGTTGCATAGTTCTCAGTTTCCCTTCCTCTTGATCCATTTCAGATATTTAAGTTGTCTTCAAGTGCTTCATGAATCACCAAAATAGCTTAAACCTTATGTGTGTGTGTGTGTTTTTTGGCTGCACCTCGTGGCATGCGGGATCTTAGTTCCCCGACCAGGGATCGAACCCGTGCCCCCTGCAGTGGAAGCACAGAGTCTTAACCACTGGATCGCCAGGGAGGTCCCTGTATTTATGTGTTTTAATAGAAGAAAGTTTATCATGCCAAAGCCAATTTTTATGATGCTATCTTTGTTTTCACCGAAGAAGGCATCTATGAAGTACAATCAAGTTTATAGAGGTTGTCAGATCATTGGCTCTATTCAATCCAGAGATTAATTTGGGAATTTGTGACTCTTATTAATTGATTATGTGTCCTTTGGAAATAATTTATATACTGTGTATGGATAGCCATCCTTAAAGTAAAACCTTTGGCTTTTCCACATACGAGGAAAATACAGTATCTCCCAGCTCATACTCTCAGATGTGAACCCTTACACACTATCTTCCAAAGGGCACAGACACCTCTGTAGATAACTTCTTTCACGAAATAAAAGCAAATTGGTCACGTTTCAAACTTTGAACTCATGCAGATTTATACCCACTTGGAAGGTGTGTCTTCAGAACATCTTGGTCCTTTCTGTTCTTTTTCTGAGTAGTGAAGCCGAAGCTCAAGACTGAGGCTTTCTCAGTGTTAAGGTCGAAAAACCTCTGTTCCTCCCCCGACCCCCAAATTTAAAGGAATCCATGCAGTTGTCATCCCTGCCTGATAATTCTAAATAAATACACGCTCTTGGGGTCCTTCTTCAGAGTTTACCACCAAAATCGTCTAATGTTGATGGATCAAGTTTTCAGATGATTATAAATATACAGTATTAGTTAACAAAGCAGTTTGAAAGATAATTGGATGAGGCAATTTTTCTTTGGATACAGTACTTTTCAATGCAGATGAAAATATTTGTCTTAGCTTGGTTGCTATAACAAAACATCACAAACTGGGTGGCTTAAAGAACAAACATTTATTTCTCACAGGTCTGAAGGACGGAAGTCTGAGATCAGAGTGCCAACACGATCTGGTTCTGGTGAGAGTCCTCTTGTGGCTTGCAGACTGCCCACTTCTCTTTGTATCCTCAGTCCTCTGGCTGCTTCTTCTAAGGCAGTAATCCCATCATGAGGGCTCCACTCTCGTGATCTAATCACCTCTCAAAAACCCCGCCTCCTAATACCATCATATTGGGGGTTAGGATTTCAACATATGAATTTGGGGGTGGGCACAAACATTTAGTCACAGCAATATTTAAGCAGGTAAATTATCATCAAAGGTGAAGAGCATCATTTTGCATAAAGGCAGAGCACTTTATTTTTCTCCCATTTGTAAGGAGACTATGTCCATCAATGGCAAAGATGTTTCTATTTCCCCACAGAACCCAATAACAGGCCCAGGGGAAACGAGCGAGGAGCACTTGAGCAGCAACCACCTGTTGGGTGCCAACACTCAGTCTGCACAGAAGGGGGTGCTAGATTACACTCAAGCAATTGGTTGAGGAGTTAACTGTTTTTGTTTTTGGTTTATTCCCACTAATTAACTCTGGTGCATTTTAATGTCATATAGGTAGACCCTGAGCATTTTTTTTTTACCCTATTTCCACACATACCAGTACTTCTTAAGGGTAGAAATGCAGTTCTTCTCAATTTAGTGACTGTGTGTTTACGTAATAATCACAATTCCAGGAGAATCAAAGTGCCATGTCCTCTACTTGCCACCCTTCTCCCAACAGTATTTTATACAGGAGCAGAAGGCAGAGACTCAACTGCAAATGGAGACAGAGAGAGCTAAGAAAGATGACTTGACGCTTATATAAATCCCAATTTTCCAGTTCCTCTGTCATCTATCGGTGACTCCTCTCCAATATGGGCAATCTCAGGGCTTGGAAAAGTTTAAAACACTCTTTTGGTGGGACACGGATGAGCCAATCTAGGCAGCCGAGCCTCTCCTTGGTAAGTTAGGCAGTCACATTTTGCAAAGAAGGGCTAGGCTGTCTCTTTGAACACCTGACTGTAGGTCACGTGATTGTCTGTGGCCAGGGCGTTTTTCAGACACTGCCAGAAGTACGGATGAGCCTGTGGGTTTGTTGGCCACTCAAGGACAGAACTCCCACAGAGCCTCTTCCGGAGCTGGAGAAACTTGGACTTCTGAAGGGGCTTCTCAAGGAATATCAAGATAATTACGTCCACTTTTTCATCCATGAGCCTCTGATGGGACAAGTAAAATGCTATCTTAAAATTCTCAGTCTTTGCATACTTGTCTGTCATGACAAACACTGTCTTTTTGCTAAGCTGTATGCTCTGGGAAAGATTTTCCAGAACAGGCTGCCCTGGTAACCAGTCCCTTTCCTCGAGACATAAATTAAAACATTTCTCTCTTGGGTCTTCCAATTTGGCCACCAGCTCATCCAAAACCCACTCTGTCACTGCTGGGTCTTTAGTGTCATACACAATAAAAGCATCGTAGCAAGAATTTGGTGATATCAGACGTCGATAGCCCTTTATTTTGGCCTTACAGAAATGGTAACTATACCACACATCCCAGAAATAGAGATGGTTTGCTGTTGTGATCATCATCAGAAAGAGAGCTGCCGATATGGAAAGTGAGAACAGGACGAAGTTAGTCAGATCTAACTCACAGGTATATAGATCCAGAGACACTACACTCTGGCCCTTGTGTGCTCCTGGTCCCATACAAGTCACATCTGTGGCCAAGTAAGGAATCGTCACCTCTGTATGGTTAACCCACCAGACAAACCACACAGCATCACAGTTGCACAGAAACCGATTGTGATGCAAAAACAGAATGTTCAGGTTGTTGAGGACGTTTTCTGGAAAACTAGTCTTTTGGATAACCTGGATTTTATTTGAGCTCAGGTCCAGATGCCGTAACTGGAAAGCATCTTGTAGAAAATACTTTGTCAGGTGCCTGATTTGATTGTTCTTAAGTATGAGCTTCTTGAGGCTGTGGGAACAGTTGGATAATCTCTCAGGGACAGTCTTCAGTTGGTTGTAGCTGAGGTCCAACGTTTCTAGATTGCTCAGGTACTGGAGTCTTCCCCAGTTGAAAGACGTGAGCCCATTTTTGGCCAAGGAGAGAGTCTTCAGATTTGGAGGCATACCATCAAAAACTCCACTAGGTAAGAAACGCAGGGAATTTTCAGAGATGTCTAATTCCTCTAAGCTCAGCAGATTCTTAAAGAGTTTTAAGTATCTATTATCACCATCTCTCCATAAAATATCCAAATGATTGCCTCTGAATTCCAGAATTTTAAGAGATTCGCTCTCCATGGTCCTGCTGGTGGAGGTAGCGATGTCATTGTTGTTCATCATCAGTTTCTTCAGAACCTTTAGGTTCCTGGTGAAATTTAGCATGTGAGTTATTCCTTCTGATTGAAAATAATGGCTGTTACTACTTATATCTAGGACTTCCAGGTTGCGTAGCTCCTCAAATGCCGTTGAGTAGAGTAAATCAAGCCGATTGTTAGAGAAGTCCAAATATTTCAACTCCACTAAAGGCTGAAATTCACTACCATTAAGCGTCTGGCTAATGCTATTTCCCGATAAGTTTAGGCATTTGAGGAAAGAAAGATGCTGAAACTCAGAAGACTTGATAAAAAATATATTATTTCCACTTAGGTCCAAGGTCGGCCCATACTTGTAACAATCTTCATTAAGAGACAAGAGGGAAGGAGGCTCTTTGCTTTTGGACCTGCAACTCCTTGCAAATTCATCATACCTGAAATAATGTAATGCTTCAAGGACGTGGGGCCCATGACCTTCTACAGAAGTTCTCATGTTAGAGCAGAAGCCATCTTCACTTGAATCTCCTGAAGGTGATATTTTATTCACTGAGAGATCTATGAATTTCAATGTTTTAAATTGGTTAAATATGCTGAGGTCAGCGATTTTTATAAAGTTAGTGCCAAGATCAAGAACTTCAAGATTGGAAAGATTATGTAATGGGGAGAGGTATGAACTTCTCAGCTCTTTAAAGACATAGCCTTTGATCCGCAAAACTTTCAAGTTTTTCAGTGAAGAAAATGCATCTGACAGATTCATAAATGCACGATAGACCTGAAGTTCATAATTGAAAGACAGATCCAATTGGACAAGGTTGTGGAGAAGATGCAAAAATTTGGCATCCCCAATTTCTTTGGCCAAGAAGTTTTGGGAAAGATCTAGTTCCTTAAGTTTGTTAACGTTTTTAAACCATCTTTGGGGCACATGCTGAAGAGAGTTACTGTGTAGACGTAAAATTTGTAATTCTGTCAATGCATCAAAAGCATTTAGGTCGATATGTAGGGGAGAATTATTTTCACAGGGTGTACAAGGAAACGGAGCATTATAACAACGAGGGCAATTTCCACTTAGGTCAAGAACTTGCAGTCGATTGAGGTTATTAAAATCATCTTCTTGGATCTTCGCAATGATGTTGTTATAAAGATAGAGTTCAGTTAAAGTAGGTGGCAAAATAGTGGGGACAGCTGAGATATTGTTATCTTTTAGGGAGAGCAATTTTAAATTTGTCATATTTAGAAAAGCATCTTTTTCAATGGAAAACGAAACATTACAAGGATTGCGATAGTAACAGTTTTGGCCCAGGTAGAGTATTTCGAGGTTGGCCAGTTCTGTTAGGTTCTCTTTCATGATCGAAAAGATGTTGTTGGCCTCAAGGCTCAGCAGCTGTAAGCTGGGAGGAAGATCCTGAGGTATTTCTAGAAGCTGGTTTCCATCCAGGTAAAGAGATTTTAAATAAGTGAGTTTACTAAAGCTGCTGGGTTCAATCTGCAGCCTTCTGGTACACACATTGTCTTTTGGCCCCGGTCGAACAGGTACACAGTTGCATCTGAAATCGATCTCTACCAGGTGGTCCAGCCGGTAGAAGGACGCTGGAGAGATACCCGCTATATGGTTAATGGTGAGGGTGAGGTTGGTGGCATTGGTGGGAATATCTCCAGGAATTTCTGTCAAATGCTTGTCTGTGCAGTCCACGATCACATGGGCGTTTGGAGCATCCAGAGTGACATCACAGGGCAGAGTTTTAGGAAACCATCTAGCCCCAAGGAGTTCGGAAATTAGGATCATGTTAAAAAGGATGAGAAATTGTCTCTTCGAGGTCCACATTAGAAACACCTGAAAGTATAAGAAAGAATAAATGGCCCTTCTAAAATACACCAAGAATCAGAATTTAAAATTGCCGTTTGCTGCCTCTCTTTTGCTACATTTGAAACTAAACAGTCCGGGTTGATGGTTCTCACCGGTCTAAACAGCACCCCGACCTCCACCCCATGACTGTAGTTGTCAATTACTGAGGTTCATAAAAAACTTAGTTACATATTTAGCTTTTAGCATCTTAGCTTTTCAGTATTATAGCTTTTAAGTTGGGAGAAGCAGTGTTTTCCTAGTCACTGTTATTTAGAATGCTGCAATGGGAAGAGCCATCAGTTAGCTGCCGAAGTCTGAAATTTGAGAGGGGTGTGCGGGGGTGAAGGAATGTTAAAATGCAGCTACATCTGGAAAGAAAAACTTTAGTGCAGTTAATGTTTGTTTGTTAAGCCTGCTCTGGTACACATTAGAAGAGTCCTTCACAATACTCGAGCCTCTTAATATTCTAAGGAGGGAAACAAAGGTGATCCATTACCCCCATTTTACAGATTAAGACACAGCTCAGCGATATTAACTGATTTGTCCAAGGTCGCACAACTCCCGCCATTTTGGCACTACTATCTATAAGCCGGGCTTTCCTCTTGGGCTGTTTTTGGAAATCATCTCCGAGATGATTTGGGGATGAACGTTTTCCCTACACATTGGGTTTATATTACACAAATTTGGAAAGGGGAGGGTAGAGAGTCAGGGCACTGCCTGGGTGACCCCCAATTGATCAAACAGGATACTCATGGGAAGGAAAAGGGAGGGGCTGTTAATAATTTATGCCAAGACTACAGGCATAAACTAAGACTCCCTCAGGCCAACTGAGACATGTGGGAACCTACTCTTAATGGCGATTCTTGGGCATCCAGGTTTAGCATGAGAGACACTTGCACCCTGGGAAGAAAGACCTTAAAAGGGAACATGGGACACACTTGAAGAGCTTTACTAACCATCATATTAACTCGAGCTTGCCCTGCGTAGAGGGTGGTTTAACCACAGGCTTGCTCTCCAGTTTCAGGACTTGTAGCAGTATTTTCCTCCAGAACACTGGTTTTCATTTAACCGGTGTTTATCCATGGAATGATCCAGCCTGTGTCTCTACAGCAGACTTCCAGCTCCATTAATGCTTCTGTCCTCCCAATTGACTGAATCAACCAGTCATACTGATATCTAATAAACCAAGTGTCTACTTCCCTTAATTCCTCCAATGGAAGGTAAATAAGCAAAATTTCCCCTCAGCTTTCTTTTTTTTTCCGGTATGCGGGCCTCTCACTGTTGTGGCCCCTCCTGTTGCGGAGCACAGGCTCGGGACGCGCAGGCTCAGCGGCCATGGCTCACGGGCCCAGCCGCTCCGCGGCATGTGGGATCTTCCCGGACCAGGGCACGAACCCGTGTCCCCTGCATCGGCAGGCGGACTCTCAACCACTGTGCCACAAGGGAAGCCCGAGCCCTAACTTTTGATCACGGTGTCCAAAGCCTTCCATAATTTGGCTCCATCTCCTTGTCTAGGTTGACCTCATACACCTCCCCTACCAGCTTCTCTAATCACTGAGCCCAAGACCAGCTTGCAGTTCCCTGACCTGCAAGCCCCTCCACCTGGAGTCCTCTTCCCTACCATTGCCACCCACCAGAATTCTGGTTATCTTTTAAGGCTGTACTTCTCAATCTGGAGCAGTCAGATCCCTGGGAAGATGTGGCAAAGGCCGGGAGTATGGGAAGCCCTTAGCTAAATAGTGTATCTTCCTTGGGCATCAATCTTACTCAAAGATTCAGGAAAAGCATCCACCACTCAGGGAAGAGGGATTAAGTCAAGATGCGGGGGAAGGGCTTTAGAAGAGGGAAAGGGGATAAGTACAGTGAGCTATTTGTATGGTCCCTGATAACAGGATCCCAGACCCTGAACCCATCCTCAGCTATGCTTCTGTCGGAAGACATGATGGGTTCATGAATCCCACTATCAAAAGGCAATAAGTAATGCTGCTAAGAGTGATATTAAGGACCAGGGAGGTCCAGGCAGGGACCAAATGGATAAATGACAAAGACAAATCATGAACCAGGTGCCCTCTTCCGATCCCATTCCCAGGAGCTGGGTCCAGCAAACCACTGACCTTAACACACTGGAGACCATGACTGTGACATTCGCAGCCTCTATACATGGACATATTATAAATTACAACGAATGCAAAATTAATCAGAAAGTCTTTTTCTCCCTTATTTCTGAACTTTTTCTCGCACCTGTCCACTTTTCTCCTTGTCTGCTACCCCAACCCTACTCCACTTTGCCATGAGGTCTCACCCTGTACTACACACTGGCCTCCGACCTGCTCTCCCTTGCCCCCTTCCTCCTCCACAATTCATCCATCAAGAGCATCAGAGCAGTCTTTATAAACACGAATCAGATCAACTACAACGATTTCTTATTACATTTTGAATGAAGTCCAAAGTCTTCACCATTGTTTATATCGTGCATGTTCTGACTCCAGCCTATCACTCTGACCTTGAACCACCTTTCCCCTTCTTGGACCACACACCAGACATCCGGCCTGTTTTCTGTTCTGCACTTGAGCCAGTCTTGGCACTTGCTGTTCCGTCTTCCCGAAGTTATCTTTCTCCTCCTCTTCCCACAGCCAGGTCATTCTCATCCCTTGGCTGTCTGCTTAAATGACACATCCTCAGAGAGGCCGTCTCTAGGCAACTTTTCTAAATACCCTCCCATGTAAGAATAGTGATAAAGGCAGGAACAGTAGGTAACTTAGGTAGCATTTACCATATGCTGGGCAACGGTTTCAGTGCTTTACATATATGAACTCATTTAATCCTCATAATAACTGCATGAGGTCTTCGACCCCTTATCCACAGCCTTTGGACCTAGATGTGTTTTGGAACTCAGAATTTTTCGGATTGTAGAAGGTAATATGGTGCATGTACCTCGTATTATGTAATACTCCAACTGGAGTCTGGGGCAGCATCTCATAATCAAACACACAAAAATTTGTGCAGTGAAGCACAGGACTGTCTACTCTAAGTGGCATTTTAAAAAAGGAAGAACAACAACAACTACTACTACTACATAATTCGGTTCAGGTCAAGATGCACTTCCAAATGAGTTCAGATCAAGTCGTGTTTGCCATCAACTGAATTAGGACAAAGCTTTCAGTTAGGGGATTTTGGAACTGTAGACCTCTATTATCATTTCCATTTTACAGATGAGTCAACTGAGGCACAGAGAGGTATATGTACTCTGCACTAGACTACTCTGCTTTATTTCTTTCATAGCCTTAAGCACCATCAGAAATTATCTTGTTGATCGTTTATGTGCTTCTGGTTTACGTGCTTACTTGTTTTACATCTATTCTGCATGAAAACGTAAGCTTCAAGGGAGCAGGGTCTTGTGTGTCTTCATAAAAGACAATGTCTGGCACTTAATGCTGCATTATGTTTGCTAAATACATGAATGAAAGAATGAATGCATACATGAATGAATAGTGAAACAGCAAAATAGTTAAAAGAAATTTCTCCTTGGAGTAGGTTCCTTCAGACTACACCCCCAGCCTCCTCAGGGGTCACATTCTCCCTCTTCTATTTGCCCTGGGGTTCCTTGGGGGGAAAGGTTTAGGAAGCTCTGCTTTTATAATGCCCAGTTCAAACCTATCTTCTTCAAGAAGCTTTCTGGGATCAACCCAGACAGAAGCAGTTGCCTTCTCCTCTCATCTCCTACTTCACTGATTACATGTTGAGCTTGTGAAAAGAACTCCAGATGGAGGTTAGACGAACTGGGTCCTGCCCTGCCTTCATAGTTCATTCTCTGTGTACCCTTCAGAGGTGGGCACTGTGCTCAGGAGGAGATCCCCTACAAGAGGATGATGGACACAGAAATAACAATATGGGATACCAAGGACCCAGACAACCTTCCTAGATCAAGACAATGGGCTTGGACTAGGAAATTCCCCAACAGTTCTTTAGCTTGAAACTGTACCAAGTATCTGGTGAGAAAGAATTTATTTAAAAAAAATCAGAATTCTACTGACTCATTCATTCTTTCATTTGACGAATATTGATTGGATACCTACTAGGAGCAGCAGATATAGAATCTCTGTCCTTAAAGAGCTCAAAGCCTAGTGGAGGAGGGAAAAAATATACAGATTTAAAATAGAATGTGGGGGACTTCCCTGGTGGCACAGTGGTTAAGAATCCACCTGCCAGTGCAGGGGACACGGGTTCAAGCCCTGGTCCGGGAAGCTCCCACATGCCATGGAGCAACTAAGCCAGACACCACAGCTACTGAGCCTGCGCTCTAGAGCCCGCAAGCCACAACTACGGAGCCCACTTGCCTAGAGCCCGTGCTCCGCAACAAGAGAAGCCACCGCGATGAGAAGCCCGTGCACCACAACGAAGAGTAGCCCCTGCTCACTGCAACTAGAGAAAGCTCACACGGAGCAACAAAGACCCAATGCAGCCAAAAATTAAAAAATAAATGAAAAATAAAATAAAATAGAATGTGGAACACCATTAGTTCTTTCCAGATGAGATGCTGCCACTTGCATATGTGTAGATTAACTGTATGTTGTTCTTATTCCAGGAGTATTTCCTGATACTCCCAATTCCTTTTATTATTCTCAGAGGCTCCAGAGATTGTTCTATATCTATATATTTTTCCCCTTTCTTTCATCTCATAGTGATAGAATCTCCATTTAGAGTTGGGCATATGCCACTCTGAAAAAAGATTATATTTCTCAGACTCCCTTGCAGCTATGACCATATGACTATGTTAAAGCCAATGTGATGGGAGAGGAAGTGAGATGTGTAATTTCTGGGACATGTCCTTAACCAGTGAGACTCTTCCCCTTCCTCCTGTCTACTTCCATCCGGCTTCTTGTAATATGGATATTGTAGCCACCATCTTGGAATGAAGCAAATGAGGAAAATGTGCTAGGGTTGGTGAAGCAACAAGGTAGATGATCCAGAGTATGTAGATCCTTGCA